TTTCTTGTATCTTTACACTTATACCCAGTTTATGCTGAATCAGTAAAGTTTATGATTCCCATATTGAGTGACTTCTAGTGTGATAATTTCCACCTACTCAAAGAAGAGATTAGCTATCAGTTCTTCTAAAAATTTGCTAGTAAAGAAATAAGTCGAGACGATGTAATAATATTCATTGGTAACTTTTTCTCATCAACCAAAACCTGCACTATAGTGACCAACTTCGAGAGGTGATTTCTGAAGCTTCAATGAGAAGTCATGATTGGTGGGCAGACCTGATAGTCTTGAGGACAAATATTCATCGACGACATCGGGTAATAGTCGTGCTATGTCACTAACTGACAGAAGTTGGAGGTATGAACTATTAGACTCCGACCAGTAGCCCAATGCTGACGTGCTGACCATGGAGTCTGAAGATCCTGAATACAATATCTGGTGATATGGTGGATGCGTTATGCTGAGGCTCCTTGTACTAGGAAGAAACAGTTGTCCAGTGCTCCTAGGTTCCTCCAACTGATATCAGTTCATGATGAATACCAACCTAAAAATTGCTTAATTCCCACAAACCCCCAAATTTTATTGAATGTATTGATGAGCTTATCCACTGGTCGTATATTTAATTAAAATAAACAACAGAAGTAGAAGATATGAAGCGCCAGTTGTTGGATTCCATAAAATACACAGATAGCACCTAATCTGCCAGTCATATCTCCACTACCAACTGAATCCTGAAGTACGATCGCAGTGTCGCTTAAGTTATCTGGTGTTTTGACCAGGTTCGATGTCCCCCAAGTTGCGTAGACAGGTATTACCCTACATCAGATGGTAAATCCTCTCAAGTTATGTAGCAAAATTCATAATTCTTCTAAAGTTGTGATCAAGAAAATAATATCAGAATTACATTTGTATAGGAAGCATCAAAATATCCGGTAGCGTAAACATACATCTACTGTAAAATAAGCTTAAGATGAAACCAGAGGATTATGAATTCATAGCAAAATGAGTTAAACTAAGTACAAGACTTCCTGCCGACTGTCTCCAGCCAAATGACACCTGTCCCAGTGTAATGTGAGGCTGAGTCTCCTGAACTGTTGAGCACACTACAAAACTATTGGTAAAACTTAATCACTACTCATTACTGGAAAAGACGAAGTTGGTTAATCTCTAGGGACCAACTAATGTACTTAATCCAGTCTTTCAGGAGGTCAGTCACTGCTCAAATGATTCATTGACAAGTTTTATCAGGTGACATATCAGTTCCGTAGGCGTTACAGGTGCGCCTTTCTGGCGCATGCTAAAAAGCATGAAACCTAGGTCCAGGGCTTCAATCGATTACCTCTATCCAACTAAATAAATAATTGCTGGTAACAAGATCGGTAGCGTCCAAAATAAGTAGTTGGTGGCTGGATTAGAAGTTTAAATTAACAAATTAACAAGAACACTGAAATCCCAATAAGCTGGCTGGGTTCAAGGATTGGCACTGTTAAAAGGAATACGAACAGAAAATTTACTTCTAAACACTTAACTCTGCCTTCGACTTTTGCACTGTTAAAACCTCAAAAATGCATGATATACTTCCACGTATACCATTTAATAGCTTTTTCCGCATTGTGTAAAATGCAAGAAATGAATATCACTTCACTTGTTTCTCTAAGCTAAGTACATCTACTGCAAGCAGAGGCAGATTATTTAGCGTCGACACCTTTCCTTTCTGACATAACTCAATCAATATGTGAGAATTTATATCAAGCAAAAGTTTGACCCTAGAACAATTGGTTGCTAGAAGAAATTCAATTTTAGGTGATTCGTTTCCTCTCACTTACAATGTGCAAAAGATGTATGTGAACATGAATAATGCACTGTGAAGTTGGAAGCCAGAATCATGTGTATGAAAGCAAGTTTTCCATTCATCTTCTTCTTGTCAAAGTAATTTGTAATCAAGGATAATTATGACTATGTGCTGCTGAGATAACTTGCATTTTATTAGTATAGTCTACTGGCTTTGTCAATAACCAACCAGGTAAGCATGGTTTTTGAAATATGACTGTGAAGTGCATTGTTGCATGCTTTGTCTCTTGAGTTTTGCATTTAAGTAGGACCCTAAAACCTATCGCTAAGTTTATCACATAGAGTAGTTCGCATAAATGATAAGTGTAACAATGATGCTTGCTGAATGTAAAAGCACATCTTGGTGGTTATTTTAGATCGCTTCTCTCATTAGGCGTATAAATTTGATTTTTCAAGTTGGTATTCATCCTGGACTGAAATCAGTTGGAGGAAACTTGGAAACCTGGTAGCATCGGAGAGCTGTTTCGTCCGAGCATGGGACTCGTCAACAGTGCGTACCCACGACACCACCGGGGATCGAACCCGCGACTTTCAGGTTCTGTGGCCAGCACGTTACCAATGAGCCACTGTGTCAGAATCCAATGCCTCATATTTCCAAATTCTGTCAGTTAACCACACAGCGTGACCGCCACCCAATGTCATCATTGAATATTTGTCCTCAAGACCATCAGGTTTGCCCCACTGGTCACGCCTTCTCACTGGGAGTTCAAGAATCACCTCTCGAAGCTAGTCACCAGTGACCACCAGTTCAAAAAGATCTCTAAATCCCCACAAACCCCCAAATTCAATACAAATTTGAATTGGCAGTATAGATGCTGGACACCATGAAGAATTTCTAGGTGGCTTCTGTTGACCCAAATTAAATAGAGAATAGCTAGAAATAAGTTGAAATTTGATAAGTGCTGACTACTAAGTCTTGAATCCTCGGAATCCCGCATTTTCTGAATTTTTAGCTGAAAATCAATACTATCTCCTGGTTATCAAAGAACCAAGTTGTAGTTAACGGTGGAAATACTACAATAATAAAAGAACTGGCAGGAGAATACTGTTACAGTCACGTTTGGTAAATCTGCTCAGCTCAAAAGCTTGTGGAAGTTGACTGATTTCAAAGTGATATACATCCCAGACTGACACCAGTTAGAGACTAACTGAAAACCTAGGAGATGCTGAACAAATATTTCTCTCCTAGTATAGCACTCCCCAGTAGTGTCCAATCATAGCCCCACCGGAGATCAAGCCGACAGTAACTATCAAATTCTGTTTGACTTTGAGTGATTTTCATTTTGATTATCTGAAATAGCCACGGTTTGGTAGACTTTAATACTGGGTAGTGATTGTATGTGAAATAAAGATTTGGACAGCGGTGGGACTCGGACCAGCAACTACCGGGTTTGCAGTTCAGTTTTTGGAATTAGTCAACTAAGTAATTTTCACATAGAACAGGTGGTTTATTAAAATTTTTCTTATGCTACGTTTCCAATAATATTTGCTCAACATTGAAGCTGATTCATCAAGTACATAAGACAGATTACCTAGTTTTCTTTCAGTTAGATATATGACATAGAAATGAACAAATTTTAAATTGCTCAATGCTTCAATTCCTTTATACTGTACGCTTAAATTAAACAAATTAAAATTAATAATGAAGGTAGATAAAGTCTAGGAAGGAACAAAATAAAAATATATGCCAGATTGAAATGTACAATAAATTCGAATGACTGATCATCATAAAGCTCGGCAGCGCAGCTTAGAATCTCTTTTGAAGCACACATATTCTAGAGGTTGCATTCACTTATTCTCGATTAAATACCTAAAACTGTAATATCTAGAATAAGCTCAGCTATCTATCAAATGAATGTGGCCATTCAACAGACTGAATAACTCAATGTAGTAGTAACATAATCAATGTGTACTAGTGAATTTAGCCAACACTTAAGACTGTAGAATCCATTACTGGTTGCTTTTCACATACTAGTTAGACATAAGAGAATGATAACACTGAGTATTAGAAGGTAACAGAAAAAGGAAAGGACAATCTTTGATTGAAATTCATCTTAAACACAAAAATCTCGCCGAGCCTGCATTTACATCTGGTAATATGGTGGCTAGGCATCATACCTCTATTTGGTGTCTTCTGAAACCATTTCACAACCACTACTACCCAAAAACTTTGCTTAAAAACTTTCAAAAATTATGTTTACGTTCAAATATAATCTAGTTGGTTTAATCTACTGCAATGAGTGGTTCACCTTCAATGTCTGTAACCTTAAGCGTAACTGAAGTTCAATTATTTTACAAAGATTTATTTTAAAAAAGTAAAGCGGTTATACAAGGAGGATTTGAAAAGCCAATCTTAGGTGTACTTGACTAGTAGCTGTCACATGTATTCTGGTAAATATAAAGGATTGAAAATAAGGCTCTCTTAATTTAGAATTTCTTCAGTTGACTTCGAAAATTGTAGACTTGGCATTCCATGCGAAAAAACTTCTAGTATACTTTGAGAATATCATCACAAACGTTTTGAAGACTACTCACTGAACTGAACACTTCAATGATGTTTATTTATTTTATTTCCTTGTATGAGTAACACTGTGGCTATATTATCAGTAACTTACTGATATCTACCGCTCAACGTAGGATCTTTAACGATATCATATGGGAACAGAATAAAATAGCCAGTTGAACATCATGACTTTCTACACTGATCGTAGTGTAACTACTGGTTTATGCTCATAACCGCGTGTTGCTTGATTAATGGAAATATTTGTACATAATGGAAATGCAAAAAGTTTTGCATGATACATTGGACTTCGTTTTCAATTTATGACTATTTAGACAATTAAAGCCCATAAAATAATCTATAAGTCTCATTAAACAGTGTTAACGTGATAATATGATAACATCCATTGTCATACAAGAAGTGACAGTTAATAGCTATTCTAAAAGAAGACACTGTTTTAAGTGTATGTATAAACGAGCAAATAAGACCATCTTGTTTACATTTGGTTCATTCTTAGACTGAATACAGAACAACCAAGTACATATATTGAACAAATCATAAAGTTACATGAATCGCACCATTTTCTCAACTGTCATTCATGACTGGAACAATATACAATGAAACATAACTGTAAAGATTTTTATCAACTTACTTGTATAATATTGATAAACTGTGGTGAAAATGATGGAAATCTATGCCGAAAACATATAAAAGTCCCGATAAGACCAGAAATGATTAGCTAGTAGGGTAAAAGAAACACAAACGAAAATAAAAATGTTTATTTTTATTTTACGCGCAGTTTGAAAAAAATTCATCATTTACAGTTATAAAAGAGTAAAAAATGGTGTTCAGTGAGACTAGGAATAAATTTAACACGTACAATGAAAGTGGTAAAAGACTCAAGTATAGTGTACTTAGTATTTGGTTATCTCATCCATAAACTGTTTAAGACACACAGAATACTCACAGTCAATGACACTGTTTTCCTATACTATATAGCGTGTAGTAATCGTGAAGTATAGCTCACTGATACGCTGTTCATACTTGCCCTAATCACTATTAAACCATATCCGTAAATATTCTACAAGAACGACGACATGCGCTTGTCAATGTTAACATCAAAGACGTGACCATTAAGTTGATTCAATGCGATCAAATTATTATAGCAAGCATGTTCAATTTGTTCACGTAAGTTCATGGGATACGGTTTAAGCAACTCCAGGTGAAACAATTATATAGAATACATAAGACCTGCATAGAACGTACAAAATGCTACAGAATGACATATTAGATTAAAACTGAGTACTTTAACAAATGATGTGCATTTAAATTGATAAAACTGATTAGGAACAGATTTTAAGCAGACATAAATCAGTATACTTCAAAGTAATGTTATACTCCTTTCTGAACGCTTAAAAAGTATTTATAAATCCCACCGTTTGTGGTTGTAATAGTACCCATCTACGATCATACTATTATTTCAGTTTTAAGCAACTACTTTCAAGTGAAACAGACAAGTACAATTTCGTCCTAAACGACCTCATTGCTTATCAAAATGCCTTAAATATTTATCAGATTTCAGAGGTTAAGTATAACGAATTGGAAGCCTTAACAGCAATCTCTTTTTTGGTATCACTAAAAATAAATAATTAATGAAATTCTACACTACAAGAACTATGAACACCTCGAATGGAACACAACGACAATCCCTGAAACAAATCTACCAAACATTTCACTTAAGATATTGGAAGATTGAAGTGATATGTAGAATAGTTTAACAAGGCGAACACCTAAACTTTTAAACTCCCATTGAAATATTTATTGGAAATAGTATATGCAGGGAAATCTTACGTACTTATATGGATTCTCCTACTTTGAGCCTTCCCAAATGCATAACACATACAATTGAAAACAAAGTATCACCAATGAAATGGATCTGTTAATTAACAGTCATTACAAGTTCAAATGCCCGCGTCGAGAAAACATCTATAGATATGAGACTATCTGAATAGGTAGTTAAAACAAAAACGTCTGTCATGGTGATATTCGAACCCAAACTTCAGTCACATAACAATTACATGATAAATAACTCCCAAATCAGGACTATCCCAATTAGTCCCGTCTACGACCGGTGAGTCATTTCTCCTCCCTAATTCAACTAGATATATAGTGAGACAAAAAGAACTTAAATGGGTAGCTAGTGTATAAATAATAAATAATCAGTTATCCTTCTCACATTCACATTACAGTATGGCACAATCCTTTATGATCGAAGTAAATTTATACCTGGTAAGTAGGGGAATATTGCAACTCGATTGGTAGACTTCTAGGACAGTAACTGACGGTTGTTGTTTCAAAATTCGTGGCGAAACAGGTTTTCATGTGAACTTCCATCATCAGATAAAGATGTGAAACTGCTTTTTCTCTGACAAATTTTATGGTATATGACAAGTAAAGCTCTTTGTAAAATGTTAACGAAAATGGCGTAATGATAGGATTAATGTTACCTTTTTCATTTGTGTAGCTGTACTATGATATAGAGGCATTATTGTTAGAGAGGTTTCAATTACTATTGTTAGATATCCTTGATGTTTCTGAAAATGATTAACAGGGTTTTCTGTTTCTCCGCTTATATATATATATATATATATATGTCTGATTAAAGAAATATTGAATCACTTATGGCTACTTGTGGGTCTATGACAATGAAGCAAATTATCCCACGGATCATGTAAACAAAGAGATAATGTAAGCATTTTAGAAATAAATGAAGGTAAAAGTTTGGGAACATTCGTTTGCGTAATCCTATAGGATGACGATGAGGGATAGTCAAGTGCTTGAAGTGTGATAAAAAAATATAACAAGTAAAGGAGTAAAACGAGAAGCGATTTCATTTGAAACTTCTCGTAGACTGTGACCTAATCATGGGAGAATTTCCGTTTGACCTGGAATACGCAGATGACATAGTCCTGTTAGGTGAAGACCCTGACAAGATGCAGAGTCTTCTAGTCACCTTAAGTATGAATATGAGATTGTTTGGAATGTGTTTCTCGTCACTCACATGCAAACTGTTGCTCCAGGACTGGTCTTCAACGGCACCCCGACTAACAACAGACAGTGCAGTCGTTGAGCGCATTGAACACTTCACTTACCTAAGAAGTCAGATCACCCCTTTATGCGTTGGACAGTGGGTGGCGAAATCTCTGCACGGATACAAATTGCTCGGTTGACTCTTGTCAACGTACGCCGTATGTGGCACCGTCACGATATCCAATTGTCTGTTAAGGGTGTAGTGAGCTGTCCTACAGTCCACTCTGTTCTGCTGTATGACAGTGAAACGTGGCCACTGATGGCAGAAGACATGAGAAGGCTTCAGGTGTTTGACCACCGTTGCCTTCGTAGCATAGACCGTGATTTGTGGTGTCACCACGTGAGCAGCACAGAAGTCAGGCATAGAGTTTTAGGGAGAAGATGTAAGACAGTTGATGCAGTTGTGAACCTTCATCTACTGAGGTAGGTGGAACATGTGTTACACATGCCTGGCCACCGCCTACTTCATCGCACAATGTTGGTCTAAGTACATTCAGGCTGGAAAAAGGCTCGGGGTGGCCAGAATGAAACATGGCATCAATGCATGGAGTCCTCAATATAGGTGTAATCACATTGATATGAATATGGGCAATAATTTGTGCTCGAAACGTCATCAAGTAAATAATACTAGATCACTGTGTATTATAAATCGAATAAACAAATCTAACATGAACTCCTTGACTGTTGGTTTTAGCCATGTAGGGCTATGCAGACTAGCCGGTAGGGGTCCACGAGACAAGAGAAACTAATGGTTGGAGAATCTGGGTGATATAGCTCAGAACCGATGTCATTAGTTCAGCTGTATACATGCATTATCATTATCTTAGCCGCTATAATTGATCTCATTATTTTCTCATCCCTCCTTCCTCTCCTTTACTACTTTATATCTCTTATGGCTCATTTTTCTTTCCTTCTTTATCTCCCATTATTTTACCTTGTTACTTGGTGTGCTGACGTGAGATGTGGCAAGCTGGATCATTACGCATTAATGCTTGATCATATGTTGATCTTGAGGATGAAGTAACTTACTAAATGGCAGCTAAGACTAGGTGCGATAACATGAAGCTTCCTTTGGATCTTTTTGGCTTCAGTACCATCTCTGTTGGTGAGTGCTAAGAACCAAATGTTTTAGGCTTTCTGGTAGTATGGCAGAAGTACAGAGAGGTTTATATATCCAAATAGGAAATCCAAGTTTACTATCATCCTACTGAGTATCAACAATCCGTCGACTGAAGAAGGATGAATAGAGATTGTTGTTAGAAATTATTTCGGTAACGCAAAGTACATCCTTCCTGTGAGAAAACAATCTTAATACCCGCAGGTAACCCTCCATCATTTTTGAGGTAAATATGCAGAAAGAAGCATATTATAAAACAAGATCGTAGTATTAAGCTGAACGTTTGCACATGTTACAAATTTTCCGTCAAATTCTGGATAACACTGAAAAGATGCCGATTGTGAGATAGGTGACCGAGTTGAATATAAAATTCGAGGCTAAAAAACAACTTCAGTTAGTGTACAAAATGATTTTTTCTCAAATTAGAAATGGTACTTCTTGGTGAAAAACTTCGGAAGAAGTTACTGATGTTTCGTTATGAAGTTATTCATTGCATAGGATAATTCTAAACAAAGAAGACTTTTTTTTCTACTATATTACATGAGAATCTCAACTGATGTTTACTACATATTCTGTTAGATATTGTTAACATATTTTGTTGAAGAGTCTAACAAAAATGACACAGCTATTACATAATTTGCCTATCCCTTAACTAGCACGCCAAGAACCTTTCAGATAAGATATTTTGCTGTTTTTCTAACAAACAGATTATGTTAACTAACTATACAACTATGTATAGTAATGACGGGCAGTGGTTAGCAGTGGAACCCAGGATGCGCATAAAACTTGTTTTTCTGATTCATTATGATCTTTTCTACTATTTGATAGATCATTTGTCATCTTGGAATTGTTTATTTTCTAAACTTGCTAATAAGCAAAGCTTCACTAGGTCGAGGTCATCTGAGGACATATATACTTTACTATCGGTAGATGGAATATACATATATGTTTGTATTTACAAAGGAGGATTAGCATAAGTTTGTTTGTATGTGTATGGCTTAGCTTCCAAATGAAAAATCCCTTACAAAACTGCATTTCGTTCATCTGACAAGATAAAAATGAGTGATTGTTAATGTTTCTCTTTCAAAGGATTCATTTGTTGTTTGTATTGTCAGGATGTATCTCCATTTCTTCGGAAATAATCGGTTTCATTCTCGCCTACTTTGCTTTCATGCACGCACACATATAAGCATATGCATGAATGACAAAAACGGTTGTTAACTGTACAAAAAGTCAAATGATTGCATCTTTCTATATCATCTTAGAAGTTATCATAAATTAGGTCGAAAATCAGTTTACAAATCAAGTATCCCAACCCTCGCTGTTTCACTTCTGCATACATTCATTCATCCATTCATTGATGAAGTAAATTAACGATTCATGAAGGATTTTCGTCACAATTAAGTAAGATTTGGAGTTTCTGAACATCAGATCGTAAAGGAATAGATATTTCCCTGACCTCTGATAATTCTAGACGTTGGATAACTCTGAAAAATGTTCAGAACTCAGTAAATCTCAGTTTGTGATCGTGT